AAGGTTGTTTTATCACTTTTACTACACTTTTTTCAAAAACCTTGCCTGTTTTGAGGACATTCGAACAGTTTTTTTTTTCGTTTTTAAGAACGACAAATTATGAAAAGATGGATTCTAATTTTGATATTCTTAGTGACGACTTTTTTAATGGAAAATTTGGGTTTGCAGATTGCTGAGGGTGAAGAAAAGAGGACGCTCGGCTTGGTGTTGCTCCGCGGTGAGCACATCGTATCAATGACTGTTGATGGCCCTCCACCGAAAGATGACGATACCGTCCGCCTCCCTAAGGCCGGAGGAATTGCTGGACCTGGACAATCCAAGCCAGTCGGACGAGGAATGCCTGTTATGCCACCCGGAATGCCAGCTGTTCCAACTGCTGGACTTACTGGAGCCGTCAGAGGTGTTGGTAAGTAATGATTCCAGTAATTTTGAGGACATTTCCAAACTTCCCACATTGGTGCACAACTTTTTTGCTGCAGGAGGTCCAGCTATGGGCGTTATGCAACCAGGTTACGGCGCTCCCGGTGTCCCACCACCCGGTATGCCAATGCCACCTCGTCCAGGTTATTGAAAGCTCATAAGATCTCATTGTATTACAGTTTATTTGCAACTCTTTTCCAAGTTGCTATCAAGTTTTTGGACGTGTTAATTTGTTTTTTCGCTGTCGTATTATAACTCAGCGAAGTGTAGCATTAGCTTCATTGACTTGTTTTTGTATGTTAATCTAAGAATTCTTCTGAATTTCGTCTTGTTTTGAAGTGACAGTTCTGCTATGTTTACCATAAACACATTATTACCGTTTATTGTTCTGTTCAGTAATGCATGTGCTATCAAACCATGGTTACCTGGGTTTTTGTTGAAGTTTACGCGACTAACATTGGGCACTACTCTCAAAATGTGACTTCGCTGATTTTGCGCTTTGATGAGCTAAGTAAGTTTTTAGTGCTCAGCCTACGGTTTGGAGCCTATGTAACATATCTCTTTGTGTAGTGAGCCTTGCTATATTGAGAACTAGCTCAAACAACGTTCGGCTGTTTCAGACAAATCATTAGTACTTTGTTCTAAACTAATTTTTTTGAAAGGAGCACAGTTTAGTTTCTAAGATTTCCAGCATAAAAATTCTCTCTTAGCAAATCTTGGCTGAAAAAATAACATCGTATTCTTCAGCATGTTAGCACATCTTTGCATTAATTGGTAGCATCACGAAAAAACCACGAAAGTAGTCGATATTGTTTTGAATGTTTCGTAATCAGCCAGTTAACAAACCATTGTTCACCGAGTAGTCAGAGCGAAAAATCGCTAAGTTGATATAATTGGGTAAACCTTCGAGTGGTTATCAAAGCCCGTGATCAGCATATCAAGTTACCCCAGTACATCAACTCTCAGCTCCTCAAAACGAAAAGTGCAAAAAATCAATGAATCAACAGAATACGATGAGTTTTCGAGAGAATGAAATTCGTAATTGGCATATCAAGTCGCCCCAATACATCGAACCGCAGCGCCTTTGACCAAAAATTGCGAAAAATTTATAAATCAGTGGGCTCAGTCGATAGATACTTAAGTTGTTATCATATTTGTAATTAACATATCGACTTACCTCAGTGTACCAACTTCAGCTACCTAGAGCAAAAAGCGAAAAAATCAATAAATCGACTATCAACCGATATTTTCCGGATAAAGTGTCCTACGTTCCCCGCGGTGCTCCAAAGCGTATGTGCGTGAAGTTTAATCCGGATCGGTTCAGAAACAAATTTGTATTCGGAACATACAAACCAACAAACACACACACACACGCACACAGATTGTGCTTTATATATATAGAAGTACTAGTTGTGGGAGGGCACATTACCTATGAGTTGGAGGCAGAGGCCGACAGATATCGAGAAACGCTTGCAAGTTTTTGACGTTATTACATCCTTTCCACCGTTCTTTTTTTTTTGGC